TTATTTACTTTACCTTACTTACTATATAGTAGTAGTAAGTAATATATTGTTGTGTTGTTAAGTTAAGTTAATATATATTATTATTTACTTATTACTTATATATATATATATATATATATATATATATATATATATATACACACATGCTTCATTTATTTTTTTAGAAATGTATTATCGCTTTTGATAGCAATTTTTATATGATCCTACAGAATGTACCATTCTAATTATAAATTTTGTATTTATTACATTGTATAAGAAATTATACAACAAACTGCGTTTCTAGCCATATATTGGGAATTGCATCTTTTGCATCAAGTTCTTGCATATTGTGATTTGTTCAAAAACTATATGCAAACGAAGTAACCCTCAAACTATTTTTATTAGCTAATACTATCTATCAGTGGAAGTGTCGTTTTCTGCTCTTTTGCTTTGATTTAATATAAGTTCAAATTTTAACTTTATAACATATATTAGACTGATGGTATATTGTGAAAGGAAATTTAGTTTACAAAGGTGATACTAGATGGCAATTGTGTGGATTTTTGTATTTCTTTCTGTACGGCTCGTAATCAAGTAACCACCAGGCCTACTATGTAAGTGGAGTAATGTAGAGTATCTCAATAATTCAAGAAGATAAATTATAATTACTACACGAGTCTTTTGTGATGGATTTGTGCATACATAAACAAACAGAAAGCACGAGTTTTTACTTTGTATAAACAGTCTATAATGCTGTACACAACTTTCATGTTCGTGTTAATTACATACTGCCGTATATGGACATAATAATAAAGGGCCGTTAGTAATGAATACAAATAATAATAAACAACTACAATTATGTGACACACTTTCAACGAACGTGTAGAACCTAAAAACAATAATTACCAAAGAACTTTAATCATCAACAATTTTTTTCATAAACGTTTCTTGGTGAATTATTTTCTTTTAAAATATACAAAAACTAGAAGGTTACCCAGAAATGCTGGGCTTAAAAAGTATTTATTTTCATCCCTATCACACAAATCGAAGTACTCTTGCGGCGCACAGCATTAACCAATGCTTTCGTTCATGTGCAGCATTAAGGCAGTAAAAGAGTGAAATGGCTACTAAATTCAAACGATTAAAATGACTGCCAAATTCAGGCTGCTCGTCCAATTGCTAATCCGTTCAAATTCTATTTTGGGGGGTCAACCTAGGCTCCTTAACCGAATTTCATCGAATTTGGCTGAGCCAATCTCGTGACTTGTAGCGTCAAGACACCAGACAGAAGGATGGTTGCTATTCTATAGCTTAGTAGTACAAACCGGCTCTGTAAGGATCCAAGTTCAAATTTGTTTGGCTTCACTGCGATATAATAGATAGTATTCAACACATTATTAAAAGAATTAAACAACATAGTGTGTGTTGTTGTAATGAGTTATTTTGTAATCTCAGTTTTGTTTGAAGGTAATTAATAATAGCTTGAAAATTGGAATTGTATATAACATACAAAGTAAACAAAATCGATTGAATATCTAATTAATGGCCGGTATATGCCACAAGGATTTTCTTATCTCTTGTTTTGACCGCAACCAAGGAAATGCATTTTATTATTTTATTCTAATTAATTATCGATAACTCAGTTTTTGCTAGTTTTGTTCAATGGGCCAATCTATTGGATTGCGAGTACTCATGATTCGTGTTCCATTGACGCAAAAACACGCTCCGCAATTTGGGGCT